TATTTTAGGCTAATAGTATTCTGGAGCAAACGGGAGAGAGAAAGAGAGAGAGAGAGAGAGAGAGAGAGAGAGAGAGAGAGAGAGAGAGAGAGAGAGAGAGAGAGAGAGAGAGAGAGAGAGAGAGAGAGAGAGAGAGAGAGATTGTTTCTCACACCACATAAGTATGTATATATCTATACATAAATATGACAAGGTTGAAGTATTGCAAGTTTTTTGTATGTGTGTGTACCGAAACGTAAATTCATGGAAATACCCATAGAAAGTGTGTATTAAAGACTGCGTAAACAACCTCCGTGCAAATAGTAAACATTAGGTGAGATGATATTAACACAAAAACAAGTCTTGCGTCGGCGGTTCAGATATTCTGTTGAATGTATCATAAAGAAAAAGAGAAACTGAACATGATTATAAAAAAAAAAAAAAAAAAAAATACAGAACAGTGGTGATATATAGAGGCCAGGCTGTAAAACACATGCAAGACCGATATACGAAAATGATAACATTTGCCATTGATTGTTGTATCTGTTTTCTTCACGGTACTAAGTGGCGGATAGATTGATCAGCAGAAAGTCAAGCAGATTGGCAAGCATTAAAGGAAGCAAATAGGCATACAGACAGCTAAATACACACTCGCATATATATATATATATATATATATATATATATATATATATATATATATATATATATATATATATATATATATATATATATATATATCATCATCATCTTCATCATCAGCCTGGGTCAGTCCGCTGTAGGCCTCTCCCAATCTTTTCCATCTTTGTCTGTCCTGCGTTTTTTGCTTCCAGTCTTAACCCCCTAATTTCGTTATTTCGTCGCGCCATCTTGCCACATAAATGACCTGCCCATTACCATTTTTTCTCTTTGATGCTCATTTCCCCCTGTTCCCTGATCCACGTCGCCCTCATCCGATCTCTTAGACTAATTCCCAGCATCAACCTCTCCATCCCTCTCTGGGCACTTATTAGTTTCTTCTTCAGTACTTTGGTTGTTTCCGATCCATAGGTCATAACTAGGAGGACGCATTGACTTTTCTCTTTAGACATAATGCCACGGAGCATCATAGTATGCTACTATGTCTGCCGAAAGTGCTCCAGCCTAGACTAATTCGTTTTAATTTCCTCTTCGCTAGATGTGTTTGTCCGTACGAGTTGCCCTAGGCATATATACTTGTACACTACCTCTAGCGCTTCGCCTTGTACATGTAACTGTTCGAATTGAACTCTACTGTTGAACATGATCATAGTCGTTTTCTTGTTCATCCTAAGTCTGACTTTCAGACATTCTCTATTCAGATCAATTAGTTGGTGCATTTCATTTCATCTTAGATTGTTTAGGTATTCGTCCCGATTTTGATACCCTTTCTGGTCCATTCTAGCTTCTTGAATATTTCCTCAAGGCAAGCTGTAAACCGTTTTGGTGAGATGATATCACCCTGTCTGATACCTTTCTTAATAAGTATTTTATCGGTTTGCGTGTGGAGCTTGATGATTGCTGTCCCATCTTCATATATATCTTTTAATATTTTACAATATACCTCCTCTACTCCCTGTCTTCAAGTTTCTAGTACTGCTGGTATTTGTACAGAGTCAAATGCCTTTTCGTAATCAATGAATACCATACACAGGGGTTTCCTATATTTGTTTATATTTTCTCTTATTTGGGTATGCGTGTGTATGTGGTAAGTTGTTGAGAATCCACTGCGGAAGCCTGCCTGTTCTCTAGGCTGGTTAGAATCCAGACTGTCAGAGATGCGAGTTGTGATGATTTTAGTGAACAGTTTGTAAGTAACTGAAAGGAGACTTATGGGTCGGTAGTTTTTTAGATCCCTCCTGTCCCCTTTTTTATGAATCAAAATAATTGTTGCATTTTTCCAGGCTTTCGGAATTTTTCCATTGAGAAGGCATTTGTTAAAAAGATTGGCTAGTTTCACTGTTGCAATTTCTCATGCGTCTATTATAAGGTCCATTCTAATACCGTCTTCACCTGGTATTTTCCCTCTCTTCATGCCTTTAAGCACTCTCTTTATTTCTTCTGTTGTGATGTTAGGTACTTCTCTAGTTCTCTAGTTCGCTTCTATCTGTGACTGTTCATTTGCGTTGTATAGATCCCTGTAAAAGTTTTCCACTATTATGATTTCATTCTTATTATTTGTCACATCTCCGTCTGGTTTCTTTATTGCATATATTTGATTTCTACCTATTCTAAGTCTCCTTTTAGCTGTTTTCATGCTGGTACCTGAGATCATTTATTATTTGAGTAATGAATTTCCGTACATGTTCTCTCTTCTTTTTGTTTATAGTTTTTGTTAGTTTAGGTAATTCTGCTTTGTCTTAATTGACGATGCTTTCATGACCCTACGTTTTTGCATAAGTTCTTTAGTTTCTATTGAGAGCTTACTGGAGTTTTGTTTGAAGTTCTTACCGCCTACTTCAAGTGCAGCATCCTTTATTATGTCATTAAACTGTTTGTTGATTTGGTCAATGTTGAGATCTTCGTCGCTGAGAAGTGAATATCTGTTTTAGATATTAATGCTAAATTCTGTCGCTTTGGTCTTCAAGGAATTCTACTATATTCTTTACCAATATTCTTTGTAAACTAAGAAACCTATCCTAATACTTGCTTGCTACCCTGAGGTTTACCTCTCCAATAGAGCATGTGTCCATCATTTAGTATTTTCTGTTCTTCGCCTAGTCTTCTAGCCTCACAGACACCTACATCTCATTTAATGAAGGAGAGTTCCTCAAGTAATGCTTATAAGGCGAATTCCGTTCTCATTGTCCTTATATTACATGTGCAAAGGTTCATCAACGTGGGGCAGCCTGTACTTGGCCGGGGATTCTTAGCACCCTCTGCTATATATATATATATATATATATATATATATATATATATATATATATATATATATATACACATATATGTATATATACCTATATATAGAGTTATAGATATAGATACACACACATACATACATACATATATATATATATATATATATATATATATATATATATATATATATATATATATATATATATGTATTATATATGTATATGTATATATATATATATATATATATATATATATATATATATATATATATATATATATATATGTACACACACACACACACACACACACACACACACACACACACACACACACACACACACACACACACACACACACACACACACACACACACCAAACCTAGCACACTAAGAGTGAAATATGATCTCAAAAAACTTCAGGATAATAAAATTAGCGAGGCTTTCTATATAAGGCGGGAAATTTGCTCCACTCAGAGAAATGACTGGTATTAAAGAAATGACAGATCTCTTTTCTTTTCCCAAGTGCTAGTAAAAAAGCAGCCATGGATGTCTACAGAAATGTGACGAAAGGAGGGCACTAGAGGCTGACAAACACAAAAATGAAGATTGTGAGAAAGCGTATAGAACTGCAAACATCAATGTTCGAAAAGCAATAAAGGAAGCAAAGGAAAGATACCTTAATTTGAAGTGTGATGAAAACAAAAGAGTTTTGAGAACAATGACACAAAAATGGCCTACAAGTTAGTCGAGGAAATTACTAAGGAAAAGACAGTAAGAACTTCTGTGATTGATGAGGATACCAAATGGGAAGTTACTGCAAAAGCAGGAGAAATTCAGGAGAGGTGGACCGGATACATCAAAGAACTATATAACTATCCAATACAAATCGACAGCTCTGTTATTACTGCTTTAGAAAAGGAACCTGAATTTTTGCGGTGTGGAATTGAGGAAGCAATTAGAGAACTTGAGATTGATAATATTCTAGCAGAATTTTTAGGACATGGAGGAGAGAGCATCATCGATGCATTGCTGATAATCTATATATGTGACTGAAAGTGGGAAATGGCCTTCACAGTGGACCAAATCATTGATTATACCAATGCCAAAGAAAGGAAACTTGCACAGATGTAACAGCGTAGGCCTCTCTCAATCTTTCCCAACTTTGTCTGTCTTGAATTTTTTCGTTTCTAGTCTTGGCTCTCAAATTTCGTTATTTTGTAATGCCATCTTGTCACTGGTCTGGCTCTTGGCTTCATTATGTTATCTATAGCCCAGTCTGTTACTTTTTTTTGTTAATCTGTCGTCCTATCTCCAACATATATGATCTACTCATTATATCACCTCTCCATCCTTCTCTGGGCACTTATGAGTTTCCTCTTCACCAGATGTGTTTGTCCGTACGAGTTGCCCTAGGCATATATACTTGTACACTACCTCTAGCGCTTCGTCTTGTACATGTATCTGTTCGAATTGAAATCTCCTATTGAACATGATCATAGTCTTTTTCTTGTTCATCGTATGTTGACTTTCAGACATTCTCTATTCAGATCGTTTATTAGTTGCTGCATTTCATTTGCAGATTCACTAAAGAGAACAATATCATCTGCAAATCTTTTATTACTTTGGTATTCGTCTCCTATTTGATACCCTTTCTGTTCCATTATAGCTTCTTGAATATTTCCTCAAGGCAAGCTGTAAACAGTTTTAAGGGGATGATATTGCCCTGTCTAACACCTTTTTTAATTGGAATTCTATCGGTTTCCATGTGGAGCTTGATGGTTGCTGTATATATCTTCCAATATTTTACAATATACCTCCTCTACTCCTTGTCTGCGAATAGCTTCTAGTACTGCTGGTATTTCTAGATGCCTTTTCGAAATCAATGAATGCGGATATGGTCTGTTGTTGAGAGTCCACTGCGGAAGCCTGCCTGTTCT